CATAAAGAGCCTATGTTTTACGGCACCGCATACTAAATAAACTTATGTAAATATTAAAATCCTAATAATTACATATGTTCATTAGATATTTATATCGATATAATATTATACTTTTCATTAATTCACTAAGTAGACTAATATTGAAAAAAATACATAAAAAGCACTTAAAATGTTGTATTTTGGACTATACTTTGAAATAAGATAACCAATGTATTTGAAATTGCGTGTCCAAGTTTATCATTACCTATTCACGACATAATATTTATCGACAATACAAATTGAAAATTCGATAACCTTTGTCTACTAGCTCACGAAGTTATGGCGTAATATTGATATAATAAATCTGTATTATATATTACTCTGCACTAAATAAATGAATAAAAGACGTTTCTTCTTTCGGAAAACGAAAGAAACACCTCTCTTTATCACGTTTAGATGATGATAAACAGCCGTATTCACAACCATTATAAATAGAAACGTACAATGATGTTATATATTAACGTACAAGTTGCATAATGAATAAATAAAAACTATATGCAAACATCAATAAGTCTCAACTCACACTGGCGCAGAGTCGAAGCGTCGCGACGCGTCATGTTTTTCACCTATAGTATATGCATCTCTATTTTCTCAATTTTAAGGTACAAATTTGTGTTATGCAAATATGGAAACTTGGATGCGGTCGAGCGGCTTCGCGCGTCACTTGAGCGCAATGAAGCATCTGACGCCGACCACACTGTGATCCGGGCGCACTACTGCGCGTGTCCAAGCGTTGTAGTTGAAAAAGTTCGACTCTGCGCCAATATGAGTTAAGCCTTAGCGCGAAATCGGCTCGCCGACAGCCTTGTTGTCGTTCAGTCAATGTCACCGTCAATGTGCGGGGCGTGTGCGGTATCTAAATCTAGGGAGGGGCGGAGAGTGTCAATGTTCGTTACTTTTTGTTCTCTGGTGGTAGTTCTCCCCTGGACGAATACTTTCACAAGGAGCTTTACTGTTACTAATAAATACTCCGCTAGTTTGTTATTAATATTGATACAATAGATCTAGAAAAAGAGTGATTAATTAAGAAATGTTCCTCGCCGTGTGAGCACAGCCTTTTGCATCTCGGAGGCGCGGTGGCCGCATCTCACGGACTCATTAATTACTATGCTATACAGCGCCGCAAGCTACCGACTTTTTTGTTTACTTACTTTGATTAATATTAATCGATCGTGCGCTCTTTAGGTTTTGAATAACGGCAGTCTTTTATAGATGTACAAAGAATATATTTACATAGTAATAAATGCGAGAAAAGATACGTTTAGTTCACTATTGTAGAGAATAAAAAAAACTCTTCTGAAATCCCAGTGACATTTTTTATTTTTTTATTTTTATTTTTGACGATTTCGTTTTTTACTTATGTTACGTTCTTTACAATACTTCTCACTACATAGGGTATGGTAGAAGAACGTTTTGATGAAATCTGCATGTCGACAAAGCATGTTAAAGGCGCTTTTCCACCAACAAGGCGAGACGAAGATTGCAATTTACATTGTAAAATTTCAATTCTCTCTTAGCCCATCTTTGATGGAAATTGTCTGGATTGGGCAGGACGTGCAAGACGAGAATAGAAATGTTTGCGTAACATTTTACGTTTATTAACCCTGCAACCGTGCACGCGCTTGATTCGCGTGCTCTCGCGATGATATTAATTATCATTCGCGATATTGTCCGTTGCGTACAATTTAAGATTATAAAAAAGATTGCTTTTCTGCAAATAGTAGCCGAGTGCCCTGCAGTTGAATTTTTAAAACTTATCTACCATGTAATTTACTCTATTGATAATAATAATAATAATATCAACAATAATAATAATAATCTTCTTCTTATCGTATGAATGGCACAATAATGCTTGCCATGGTGGTGAAAAGTAGTGCGCTTGGTAGCAAGTGATACGCCTGTCCATAACTATTGCAGAGCCATTTAGAGCTTTAAATCACAAATATTTGAGGGTACACGCCCGTCGCCCGGAGACATAAGAGCCTGTATACACGGCGCATTTAATATCATTTAAGATTTAATATATCAAAATGCGCGATACTGACGTGCTACTACTACGTCAGGTACCCGCCGATTGTTGCCCAAGGTGCGCCATTCGTACAGGAAAGGAAGAAATCCTCTCCTTTCATGCAACCCATAATAACAATAATATTGCACTCATACTACTATACTCTATTGTTAATTAAATATTTTTATTTTACTATCAACAAACTCAGTGCATGCTCGGGATGTATATTAAATATCAATCGCGATCTCGCGATAGCTATTTACGACAATTTTTGATGGAACTAGGTCGGCGAGATTTCAATTCGCAACTCGCCTCGCGCGCCGGTGGAAAAGCATATTCCAATCTGCATTGCGGCCGCGTGGAGAACGATGACCTAAACCCTATTCTTAGAATATACCTGTGAGCTTAGAAAAATAACGCATAGAAACCTAGTCCGCACACGCTAAGTGAGGCAAATTGAAGCGCTCCCAATGGGCCTACACGAGCGGGCGGGCCGTCAGTGCTCAGGGTCAACTTGCACCGCGAACAGCTAAAGAATTTTAGCTAAAAATGACGAAATGTGCGGTAAATGAGTGTAAAAATACGTCAGACAAACATAAAATAGATACCAACATCACATTCCACAAGGAAGTAACGCGTTTCAACTTGTATTTTTATATAAATATTCACTAAAACCGAAAATTAACCTACTACTAAAACTAGCCTACATGAATTTGATTTTTGCCTCACTTGTGACAATTCGTTTGATATGAAACTATCATTCTATGCGTTATTACTCTAAGCCTGTGAGTAATTGAAAGACTCAGGCGTTACTTTGCGGAAGTCCATGTTAATAAAAATGGAAGTAAGTTAATTTGCTACTCCAAATTGGGTTCGCGGAGTAGCAAATTAACTTACTTCCATTTTTATTAATATACCTGTGCTCAACAGTGAGACATGCATGATTAAGATCGTGATGACATTTTATCTACAGTACAAATATCAAACCTCTGTGCCGTTTTAACATAACAATGTTAAACATAACATAAAATCTCAAAATTGTAAACTATTTTTTGATTATTAATGTTTTTTTTTTAATTATTTCCGTTACAGAAAAAGCAACGGTTTAAAACCTTAAAGCCAAGTCTTGGCTTTTTGGGAAATTTATCGTTCCCCTATCGAATAAAACGACCTCTTGAACTTCGTGAATTATAATGTTTCATAATTTTACTTCAACTTCAACTTTTGTATCTATGGCTCCGTCGTTTTGCGCGACGATTTCGCCAACATCAGGGTTGAAAGACATGCAGAGCGGTGGCGAGATAGATTGCCGGTTATTAAAATACTTCGGCGATTATTATACACATTGACGGTTATATATATATATTTTTTTTTTTAATGACATTACAAAAATATAAACTGAGGGCTCATGTTATTTTCTTACTTTTGCAAACATTTTTGGAAGTTTTATTTAGCGGAAAATAAAAAATAAAATCGTTTAGTAAAAGAGAGTTAGGCATCATTTTCGTTCAGTAACAAACTTTTGACCTGGGTCAACGTGGAAAATTATCATGGAGGATGGAAAAAGAAATAAAATTATACGAAACATAATGGGAGAATACGGGGAGAATGAAGAATATTCATTTTTCAAAAAAATTAAGACTGTTCAGAAATGGGAATTATTCTCCGACTCATCATTAGTTGGAACAGAAAACTATGAAATGAATGTGGTCGAGCGGAGGCTAATCGGAGCTGGTTACAGATGTATCTATTGACAAAACTTTGAAATCGCTGACATAAGTGACAAAACTTTGAAATCGCTGACATAAGTGACAATCCACATAACCAAAACTTTATTTTTTTCCGTCCTCTAAGACCAAAACACTATCAAATATCTTTGGCAAGCGTGACACTCCATGGCGACTCTCGACCAAAGAGACTGCCATAGCGAGCCCATGATAATAGGCGGCGTCTAAAGCCGCCACCACCAATTTGGGGAATCTATCGTTCCCCTATCGAATAATAAAACAGCCTCTTGAACTTTGCGTATTACAATGTTTCATAATTTTACAAAACAATTCCAACCATTTAAAATCGCTCACATAAGTGACAATCCACATAACTAAAACACCTTACACTAAGGAATTATTTTTTTCCATCCTCTAAGTAAAACCCTATCGAATATCTGTGGCAAGTGTGACACTCCATGGCTTAGAGGATGGAAAAAATAGTTTCCATAGTCTAAGCTCCATGGCGACTCACGACCAAAGAGACTGCCACAGCGAGCCGACGCGAGCAGCGAGCGTGATAATAGGCGGCGTCTAAAGTCGCCACAGCTTGAACGTGAATTGTTCTTTTGTTAGCTTTACATAAATAGGCTTAGACATCAGTTCATTATAGCTTAGATGATGGAAAAAAATCATTACACATATTTTATAGGCATTAAGCCTTATCTTCGGCAGGTCATCACATCAGAGTGGGGTCAATTCAGAGTTATTATAATGGCGGCCATGCCAAATCCGGATAAAGTTTCAATTCCTGGAATACGTCTTAGAGGATGGAAAAAAAACGGAATCTTAGACTATGGAAACCAACATAATTGACAGTAATACTTGACAATCTGACAATGAAAAGCCATAGATACAAAAGTTGAAGTTGAAACTCGTAGGTGGCCGACGTTCGCCATTATTTTAATTTCCCTAATAACCGGTGAAGTATTTTAATAACCGAGTATTCATCTCACCATCGCACTGAGTCTTTAATAGTTTAGGGCAGTTTTTCAACACTGACATTGGCAAAATCGACACGCAAAACAACAAAGCCTTACCTAATATTATTTTTCAAATTGAATGCTGGCAATTTTTATTTCCTAACTACTGACACTGGCGACTATTTTTTATAATTATTCTTACAAAACTGACATTGGCCCAAGCCTAATGACTGCCAATTCCTGTATTACTCTACTCTTTGGGCCGCCATTAAGGAAATAATATCCCTAAAAAGCAAAAAGAAGTGTTCAAAATTAAGTGATTTTTAATCAACTGAAGGATTAAAATTCTCACAATGATATTGCTATAATTTTTTTATTATTTTTCACAAAACTGGCACTGGAAGTCTTAAAAAAAGTAAAGCAAAAAAGCATCGCCAATTTATTCAATTCCGGAGTAACTTGGGTACGTACCTTATTTTACGTTTTATACAACAAATAACAGTCTCCTTTACGTAAGGTGATACTCTTTAATCACCCTAAGCGCCCAGTTACACGACGCGAAAGTTTTCGCGCGGCCGCCGTGCGGCGATCGCCCAGTGACCGCCTTACCACACTTCAACGTACATTAATGACGAATCTGAATTCTATTTACTAGGCAACAACATTTAAGTTCTTCTGAATAATACAACCACGCAGTCGGCGCGTAGACTAAAGACAAAGCAGCCTCTCACGCGCGCCCGGGTTGCTCATTTAAGTTAAAATGTAAAAGCCAAATAAATAAAGCGTACTTTGCCATGACAATTAGACGTGAGCGCGATGAAATTCAAGTCGAATAAATGTGCCCTAATGGTTCGACCTACTGTCTCTCAAGTAGAAGGTCTTAGGTTCGAATCCGGGCTCGCACCTCGGAGTTTCTCGGAATTTATGTGCGAAATTTAATTTGAAATAGACCATGAGCTTCTCGGTGAAGAAAAACATGTTGATGAAACCAGCACGTCGAAGAAGGTGTGATGTTCCCAACCCGCACTGGGTCAGCTTGGAGGACTATAGCCTAAACCCTCGCCTGAGAGAAGACCCGTGCCCAACAGTGAGACGTATAAATGGGTTGATGTTGATGTATATTCTTTTAAAATGACAAAAAACGATCAGCATATTGAATATGATTACCTCAGTTGAGAATTCATCATTCATAATAAATATTAATACAAAGATCGAACACTTAGAAAAAAATTATTCGATCCGGATTCGAACCAGCGTCTTCCAGCAAACTGTGCCAGACGCTATGTCAACTAAGCCACGGAATGAACTAGCGTAACTAGTTCATCCAGGGAGTGCTGCCTTCTTACCTATTTCTGCCGCCAAGCAGTAATGTGAGTTCCGGTTTTGAAGGATAACGGTGCTGGTGAAATTACAGATCTTTGTGTTATAAAGGTCTACGTGGCACCGCAACTGTTATGGACAGGCGTGTTCCTTACCATCAGGCGCACGACTTGTTCGCCCCGTCACTTGGTATGATATAAAAAAAATGTTTTACCGTCATGATATTCAATTATATTTTGTAAAATTACTCCATTACTTTGATATAATTATTAATACAAAGATCGAATACTTCCAAGAAATTCCTTCGATCCGGCAAGATTCGAACCAACGAAATTATTCAGGTGGTGAAACATGGGCCTTTTCAAGGCGAGAGTGAATAGGCATTATTTAGGTATACATACTATAAGCCTAAGCATATAATTTTAAAATGAAACAGTAAACCTGTATCTCCCATTAATTGTCATCCGGTATGTAATACCTTAAAACCCGTAAAAACCTATACTTCCTTTTCAGGAAAATAATTCTTCGCCCGTTTTCTTTTCATCTCCCGTCTTATTTTTTTAACAACCCCAACAATGTCGTTTGGTGTTGCCATTTTTTTAATTCATTGTACCCAAACCGAATCAATAACTAACTAAATCTGATAGTTATTGAATGGAATAGAATAGAAACCGTTTATTACATAATGCCACATCACAATAATACGCAGTAAGAATTAAAAAAAAAGATAAAGCTAAATTAAAACAAAAATAAAATAGAATAACAAAAAAATTATATAAAATAAATTAAAAATGAAATTATAATAATAGGTAATGAAATGACCACAAAGATAGTCTCAACACTATTGTGTACTAAGTAGGTGTCCACTCAGCTAATGTCACCGCCGGGAAAAGGCTGTGACGCTGATTTTCAGTGGACCCTAAATGCAAGTAGTAATAGGCATTTTAAACTAAGTAATTCATTATACAGCTTTTGTTAACAATACTCCATCATCGACCTCATTGTTACTTTCCATGTGAGATGGAAGTCAAATGCGCGCTTATTTTTTAAATAAATTAAAAAAGGCTTTTATGAACAGTGTGAACGTTTAAAGACTTCAAAGGCTTGTAATATAATAAAAAAAGAAATCTTGGCAAATCAATGATCATCTATAATTTAAATAATGAGCGAGCAGGTGCTAGCTGTTAAGTGAGATCAACATTTAACTGATTAGATACTTACGCTGATCGCTTCACTTACCCAAGACTTCATAACTTGATTGCGGTGCAATGTTTCTATGTAATTATGAGTAATCGTCTAAGTTATTACTTATTTTATAACCACCATTAATTTAATTTTCAAAAGTCGATTAGAATTTGTTTGTGATTGATGGTGAAAGATTTATTTATGTAAAGAATTGAGTAAAGATAATTTGGGTGATCTTCTATCGTATTTTATGTAGACGAACAAGTCGTGCGCCTGTTGGTAAGCTACACGCCTGTCCATAGCAGTTGCACAGCCACTCAGAGCTTTAAATCGTAAAGATCTGCTGGGCCCGTAACCCAGAGACGTAAGGTGATAAGTCCCGTGTACCTGTAATTTCAGTAATGCTGACATTACTGTTTGTCAGCAGAAACAGCTAAGGTGGCAGTATTTACCTAGACGAACTCTTTCACAAAGAACTCTACTGCGACTAAAAATCGACTAAACCCGGCGGCCATTGACGTGTTTAGTGGTTATGACGAAAAAACTCACATGGGAAGTTTTAAGTGATGGATAGTAACCTACCTTAAAGTTTATGACTATAAATATGATCTCAGAGTAACGGGCGCTATGTCAGTGACCTTCAGATCTTTGCGATTCAAAGCTCACTGCAAATGTTATGGACAAGCGTGTCTCTTACCCCCAGGCGTGCTACTTGTTCGTTCCGTCACTAGGTATTATATAAAAAAACTTAAGAGGAATGTTTCAAAGTCGAAAGTCAAGCTTATGTACTCTGACCCATTTCATATTTGCAAAGTAATCCTCTTGTCACTTTTTGTCCTTATTCAGGCATTGAAAATGAGAGAGAAAAGTAAATTCGGAACGAGACCGCGTAAAGACATTCACATGTTCAACGAGATCATCTTCAGAGAATTGAAGCACTTCCGAAACCATAAGGTCTATCGGCCCAACTTCGGAGGCAAGTCAATTCAACTTTGAAACTTTTCAACCTTGGAAAACAAGAAAACCTTTATCTTTGAGTAGATAACATTAAATTGGAAATGAATCTATTTTTTCCGGTTGTTTTCAAACAAAGCAATGCTTCGTGCTTTTTACAGGCCCCATGATTACGGTAGAAGGGATTTTAGATCCCGAAAATAGTTTCATTTCTAAACTCAAAGTAAAAATTTATTTAATGTATAATTTGCTTAAAATTACACTTGAAATCATCATATTGATTAAACTCGGCCGCTCATTCGCAAGGCAGATTCCCTTGAAAAGAATGAGCAAGATGCTCTACGGATTGTTCTTTGTAAATAAACATTTGTGCACATTGAACCGTGAAACACACAGAGAACGGGTGCGGGTCGGGCGCGTGTCGAGTCGGGAGCACGGTGAGTCTCCTGACTACACGCGCTCGATCCGCACTCGCATTCAGCGTGTCTCATGCTTTATTATTTACAATATTTATTTCAAATATCATAGATCAAAACACCCTGCAAGAGCCTTTGTGTAGGACGAAAACCTAAAAATTCATTATGGTAACATTAAAGTTCGGATTTATTCTAGAAAGCAAATCCATTTTTCAAAGCAACTTTTATGTGTAGACACTAGTGTCTATCTGTCTACATAATCCATTTTTCAAAGCAACTTTTATAAAAATGGTGACTATGACATAGACTTTAGATATCAATGTTGGCGTTATCGTGTACAAGAAGTAGGTTCTCGAAAATCCCGTAAATAGCAGTAGAGCTCCTTGTGAAAGAGTTCGTCTTGTAAAAAAAATGTGAGCATTACTGCGTTCCGGTTTTGAAGGTAAGGTTTCTGGTGATATTAATGAGACTTGTCAACAGGGTGACGGACGCAGTGGTGGACCTCATAGACGGTCCTCGTAGGGTCAATGCGATTTAAAGTTCTGAGTGGCATTGCAACTGCTATGGACAGGCGTGTCGCTTCCCATCAGGCGCACGGTTTGTTCGTCCCGTCACTTGGTATAAAAAAAAGCTTATGGAGTAGAGTCTGGCAAATAAACGAGATCGCTCGTATATATGTATATTTCTTTTGTACTACATAGACTTAACAATTTTTGCCTTATTACTCAAAGCTCTCATCTCATAATGCAAAAGCAAATTCTGAGGATATAATGAGTGTAACCATTTAACTTTGAAATCTATGGACATATCCAGCGAGTCCCGTTACTGGCAAGTTCTACGCTTGTCACGACCAGACGCCATCTGAAGAGGACAAGGAAATCGAGCACTACCATTACAGAGTGTCGCAGATAAGATCTGTAGGACCGCGTAACAAGTACTCCGGACCCGCTACAGAAGCACAAGTGTAAGAATTTGTTTCTGACAATGATTCCCTTTGTTTTGTCAATCACATACTTACCAGATTATTTATTTTTCTTCCTTTTTATGAATTTTAGTGAATATAATTTTTCATAATTTATATTTATTGAACATCATGATGTTTTTTACTACTAAGTTTTCTAATTTTTCGTCAGACCGGTCTATGTAAGGATAATAATGATTATTCAAATTTAAATATTTGATTTCGGTTAGTAAAATAACTAAAACTTAATACTAATCGTAGTTATTACAAATTATATCCAGTGTGCAAAGAGTGATCCCTGGACCTCGCCAGATATGATACTCAGGACACTACCGGCACGCGTTCTACGCATCAAGGATGCCACTATCTCTAGCATAACATATTTGTAATATAATAGTGAAATTACAGGCACATGTCATACACTTCTTATGTCTCAGGGCCACGGCCGCAGTGGCAAAATCTCGATCATCGCAGAAAAGTAGCCTGCTTGTCGGTTTCCTATCGGATTTCTGGGAGTGTGGGCAGCAACTTTTCAATTTAGTTCCACCCTCACCGTTCCTCCTTCGGTCGACTAGAAGGTCCGGAACACTTCATGCTTATGTCGTTGATATGCCACCTATTCGCACTAAGCGCTTTGCTTCCTCCTTTCTGATGCGTACAGCAAAGGAAAGAAATACTCTGTGTTTCCCGAAAAGTATAATTTGGGGCTATTCAAGGCTAGAGTGAATAGGCATTTTTTAAGCAAACGCGTCCAATCGTCGGTCATATTGTCACTTAACATCAGGTGAGATTGTGGCCAAGCGTGCGTCTATTATACATTTATATAAAAAAATCTTTACGATTTAAACCTCTGACTGGCACCAACTGTTATGGACAGGCGTGTAGCTTACCATCAGCGCTCACTTGTTCATTTCATCACTTGATATTATAAAAAAACCTCACAGGGCCATATTACTAACATCATAAACAACAACTTTTGTTCCATAACTATCTACAAAACATAATAAATTTACTAAAAATTTGTTTATAGATATGGGTGGTACCACGAGCCAGGAGTCCCAATGGAGGAAGGACGGGCCAACCACCACCGTAAAGACAGCATCTACACAAAGATCGAAAATCATATTTTCATGACCAAACCTATTAGAAGATAATAGAAATAACAATAGAAAATAATTATTAAAATATTTTTACACATAGGTATAAAGTACACTATTGGTACGAATTCAGTTTATTTAGGGTGAGGCCAGACGAGCGTAATGTGAATTGCAAGTCGTGTTTTTTGAGTTGCTAAAGAACTATGACGAACTCCCATACAAATTTTTGTTGACCTAATTTGTTTGCGTCTGTGTATGAAAAATATGTAATAATATAGATTTTAAATACCTTAACAAATTTGGTTTTAGGTTTACTATTCGGAGAAGTCTGGAATTAAAGGTATTCCAATTTGAAGTTTTATATATCATGTTTACATAATTAAGTAATATATTCGGTACGTAACGTACAGAAACCTTAATCAGACTTAATAGAACCCGTCAAGTGCCGTATGTTTGTATTGGTAGGACGAAAGTTAGAGAAAAACCTTTTTTTTATAAAAAAAGCTATTATGTCAAGCCATAAAACAAAAGAGTAAGTTAATTAGTACAAACCATACTCTAGTTATTTCTTGTGGAACATGCCATCTATCTCTGAATTGTGGAACATGCTACTTATCCCTGAAATCGAGAATTTTTTTGTCATTTTTTCGCGTGGCATGTTTGGAAAAGGAATTATCTGTTTTATTTTCTGTAATCAAGTAGTTAGCATTAGAGATTACTCTTATTGCAAATCTATCGAATGAATACATTTCATATTACGTGACCTAAATGTGGACGGAGCTATCTATACATAAGTATTCAAAACTCTTGGCGGACAGATGTCGCTTAACGTAAAGGAATTAAGAAACTGACAGTTGCGGATGTTGGTCTAGGTTACATACCATCGAGTATATAATACTCGATGGTATGTAACCTAGACTGTTACATAGTAATAGTCATTAGAGTTTCATATAAATATTTGTCAGACTTTTAGAATAATTTGAAAAATCTAGTGAGTTTATTTTACTCAAATTCGTAATTATAATATTTGTAATTCTTTCAACAATTAGTTGGCCATTATTCTTTACGCTACTTTCATTCTCATAAAATGCTCGCATTTTGTTTTTTTTTCCGTTTTTGTTTTCTTTGTTTTAAATGTAATTTTACACTAACTTATTACTAAGACAAATTGTATCGTGCTGTGGATACTGTTTTTGGAATATGGTCCAGTACATTAATGTATCAAACCGAAACTGTTACCATGTGTTGGTTACATAGTCCGATTTATGCGACACAACGACGTAAAATCTGCCCTCGGAACGTAAAAAGGCACAACTGCTGTATAAAGTACGCATAGTTGTGCAATTACGACCGAAGTTCGGTCGCACTGTGTAACGAGCTTATGCGGGGTGTAGAAAGGGGTGACGGAAGGATTGTGAGGAAAACATTTATTGGCAAGTGGTAAAATTTTGCAAATTAATCTGGATATTCACATAAACTGGGCGTGTGAGTGTACCCAGCTATTTTTTATTTTTCTAATATTATAATAAGCACCCCATGTAAACCATAATAGAAGAAGAATAAGTAGGGTAACTCCATACAACGACGTAGCTACGCGGTTATTTATGTGTGCACGCCAACCGCGCGCCGTTTACGGACGCACACATTTGCATAATGTTATAGTGCACTTGCGTTGCTTAACACGGGTCGTCACGCGCGCAATTCATTATTGGCTGGTAACAGATTGTTCGCATATTTGCAGTTAATGTGTGAAGTCGTAATAAATTTTATTCAGCAGAGACCTCGACTGCATGAAGTTGACAGCGAGATCACGGATTAACTGCATGCAGTCGAAACTAAACTTCAACTTTAAGCGATCGATGTGAACGATAGTCCGAGAGTCAAAAGTAGTCATTGAGAGTCCTACGAGGACATATATACATATATATTTTAGTATATTTATTATTTTTTTTTGCTTTTAATAAATCGTTTAAATTATCAAAGGGTGCAAGACAAGAAGAAAACAAATTTTACAAGTACTTTAGAGTCCTAAAGTAGTTGTAAAATTTGTTTTCATCTTGTATTAATTTGGGATACTACAGTGCATAAAAATCACCTTCTCTATAGCAACATAATTAATAATAATAATAATAAATTTATTTCCTTCACACACAATTTCAACCATAATTGAAAAAAAAATTGAAAAAAATTATAGTGGATCTATCCACGCTTTCGTTTTTGGCTTCGATTACGCTGGCGGCGTATTTTATTTATGTATTTGTTTATCTGACGACTTTGGTGGCCCAGTTGTTAGCACTATGGGTATTGCAGGTGGAGTGGAGTCATTTGCCTGTCAGGTATAAAAAAAAAAAAAAAAAATGAGGTCTGCGTAGTCTGGATAGTGCTCCAGATTAATTTCATTGCTCTGGTACCCATAGTAAAGGGAATTACTTACTTTGAGATCAAGTAATTAGTGTGGTTGTCTGACACATTTTTTATATTATTATTAGTATGTTTTCTTTTCTCTGTATTTTTTTTTATTATAGCATTTTTATGCGAGTTATTATTATTGTATAAAATTATAATTTTGTGTCAAATATTTTTTTTTATTTATAAATAAATTATTACATATATGTACAATCTCGTATTCATTCCTCTTTCGTACCCATATTGCTATAATCGAAGTACCAATGCTGCTATACAAACATCAATGTGTACGTATTTCATTTTAACATAGGTTGTTTCAATATAGCACCAAAACACTGTGACAAAAAACTATAAGTTTTCGAAAACTATGTTTACAACCTGTATGTACTACTAAAATAGTAATCGAATTAACCCCACGCTCCTAGTGAGGTATTGAACAGGCGGGAGTTATCCTACTTGATCTTATTCTACTATTACATACAAACATTTCAAAATACATCTGGCGTCCCAACCGAATTTCATTCGAACGTAAGTTACGAGACTCAAGAAATACGACTCGCAACTCAAAAAATTACGCTCGTCTGGCCTCACCCCAAGTGGTAAACACTGTCGGGTTCTTTCACTTCTACTGTTTTGTCGTATCAACGGATATCATAACGCATAACTGTGACGTAGTACTTAAAAGGATAAGTATAAATTTTCAGTTGTATTTCGCGTGTAATAAAAACCTTCCTTTGTATAAATAATAATAATAATAATAACATACATAATAATAACGCACACACTCAACATAGTCCCGCACTAGGGAAAAAAACCCTGTGTCGTGGGTGCTATGGACACACACATAGACAACCACAAATTACTCCTGAGAGAAATGAATGTAGGCCATACAAATATTTCTCCCGGCCCGGGAATCGAACCTGGGACCTCTGCGTGGCAGTCCGGCAAGGTAACCGTTCAGCCACGGAGGCAGTTATACACAACATATTTTAAAATAATGATTTGTATACGATAATTATTCCATTTTATTTGGTAATTTTATAGTTAACAATGCCCTTCGGGTTAAACAGTTACTTTTTATATTAGTGTTGTTATTTTTAAATTTAATTTAATTGTATTTTTTGTAGTAATTTAATTTTTGATTAATAATAAAGTGACTGTTAAAGAATTGCTAGTTTTTATTTAAATCAAAATAGTGTTATTTTGAAGAATCTACTTCTCTGAGTCACTCAGTAAGTACGTGAATTATCCGTTAGTTTAATTAACATGTCTAAGTTTGACAGTGGTTTTCTATTTAAAACGACCAATTCAAATTGTCAACAAGAGCTTATGGAAATGACGTACAGTTTTTGGAGTACAATTGTCTTTTAATCTTTATCTACACACATATCATAAACCCTCTATGATGTGTTCTATAACCGCACATTACGACCAGCATAAAGATAAACTGTTTTGTTAGAACAAATTTGTTATCTGTGAAAATCTTACGAGGATGAAAAAAGTGAGAATGTTATTATTTCTTCATAATAACATCAAATCCGATTTTATTATTACTTTCAAATTTCGAACGTCTCTGAAAAACAAACAATTTGATTCGACCTCGATTCTAATATCAGTCGAGATGAAGTTTTATTCGAAATGAAATGTCAATAGCAAACAATTTTGACAATTTCACAGGTTACTTGATATCGAACGATATGATAGCCGAAGCCGATTCTAGTTTGTATATGAATTAAATAAAAACGGTTGTGTGACATACGCTTAGAGGATGGAAAAGATAAAGGAATAGTCTAAGGACATGCGTGAGAAAAGTTTTTAATTTGCCGCCATTTCACCTGTCGTAACATGCGGTTCCTGAACACATCATAGAGTGCCTATAACATGTGTATAGATAAAGCAGTGTATAAGCAGTTTTGTGAAACGAGCCGACAGCGAGTTAAATAAACCCACACTCGTATTTTAATGCCTTTTATTACGTAACAGTGACATAAACTAATGTAGACTATGGAAATTCTGTCCTCTCAGTTGTTAATGGACTTTTTTAATTTTAATTTAATTGATATTTAGTTACATAAATGATCAATATGACGATGACAGGGTTCACTAGTTCGTATCATAGATTTATGGTAAGTATATAACACCACATCATTATAGCATACTAAGTCTATGAGTAGCTTAAAACTGTTACAGTGCTTTATATAAATTTGTGATACACTCATCTATCAGTCTATGAATAATAATTATAACTTTTTTATAAAAAAAAACAGATCTCAAAAGTTCGTGGAATATGTAATTCCTATTTCCAAAGTTTTATTAAAATCGGTTACCGGAAAGTGCGCGAAACCGGATTCATCCGGTTTTCCATCCGGAGGTGGAATATTTTCTTCAAATTTAAATGGGACTAATATTGAGGTACTCTTTTCCACAAAAAGAGAATCATCAAAATCGGTTCACAAATGCCGCGCAGAGTTCTGGCGTAACTACATACATAAAAATAAAAATACAGTCGAATTGAGAACCTCCTCCTTTTTTTGAAGTTGGTTAAAAATTGGAAAGTGGCAAATTATAAATTTTTGAAATGATTTAGTCTGAATTGAGCTAAAGTCGCTTTTGACGACTGGCCGGTACGACGTTAATTCGAAAAAATAATCTTAATATTTTTTCTGGTCACATTTGCTATTTTTGAGTTATGTTTATCTCATTATATGCATAGAGTCATCCTTAGAGGTGGAATTTTTCTTTAAATTTAACGCGTAACTTACACACAAAACTACAGTCGAATTGAAAACCTCATCGATGCAATCGCCTATTTATTTATTTATTTATTTATTTATTTATTTATTTCTTGGCACAGCTACAGAATACAAATTAATATAAATATTTATAATATTAGATATGATAATATATAACAGAAAGTAAATTTGCACTCCTATAACAGCTGTGCACAGCTCTATCATATAGTCTACATAGTGGCACACTTTAAGGTAAAAAGAAAATAAAAAGACTAAATAAAATTACATGATTGGCAGCGACTATGTCATGAGTCATCAAACATAAATGCAATCACATATCAATACAATATAACAAAATTATTACAAAATTATCGGCTCCAAAATATACTGTTGTTTACACCACTTTAAGATTGCAAAATTTTCTAAACTATAAATTCCAAGTGTAGCGATGCAATCGCGCACTTGCATGCGAAAGGTAAACGATTAGCGACTGCATCGCTGCTGTATCGCGTTTGCATCGCTGCTAAAAATCGCCGTGTGTAACCGCTCTTAGAGTATGGAAATAGCAACCGGGCCACAAACCATAAAGAAAAAAAAACTTAAAATACGTTAGATTTACTTTTTTCCATCCTCCAAGTAAATTTTTTTTTTATTTATGAAGGCTTTGGCAAAGCCATCAGCCTAAACATGAAGTTTAATTATGTTTCTGCAAATATGGCCGCCACAAAGAGGATAGGCAATTTGAGGCGGCGTGCTTAGATTGACTCGGGATTCCTTAAAACGGGCCGATAAGGGTATTTTAGTTCGAGATTCGTATAATTTCGCGTTTTAATCTTCGATTAAGGCACAATAGCACTATCCTATTCCACTTTAAACTAGATTTCACAAAATAATTAAAAGTCAAAATAAAAACAACACTTTTCCCTCCAAAAGGTCCAGAGCGAATCCTCCAAGAAAAATACATAAACGTATATTGTTTTTATTTCTTTTAGATATAATACATATCTTTTTATTTTTTTTTCCAGGCTGAAGATATACATACTAGTACTTTTTACTAAATATCGACAAGCAACGTCAGTGACATGTAAAAAATTATTTTGGTTTCCATAGTCTAAGATATGGAGATACATTCTGACAATGGCGTCGATCGCCTTAATTTAATTTTTATATTATTTTTACAAAACTGATACAGGCTTAAAAGGTACCGCAAAGAAAACGATACAAATATTTTGAACGCGCATGTGAACGGCGTGAAATTTTTTTGTATTTCTTTCATAATTATTTTTTAATGACTTGTGTTAAAGACATATAGAGGTAAGTTAACTCATCATCGTCCTATCCAAAAGCCAGTATATCTATGTTAAGCCTCCTCGACTCCTAACGGTTCATAGTCAGATCCTTGACCTTATAAGCTACTCAATATGATCTTGTTTATTTGTAATTTATCTACTTGTGATTTAGGTAAATACAGTGGCAAGTATTTAAATGATTATTTTAAATTTGCAAAAGCATCGGGCAAGAAAATGTAAACGGTCATATTTTTTAATGATTGATCCTCTTTCTTTGAAACATAAAATAAATTAAATCAATGGATATTTTAATTTATTTTGAGCTACGCAAAAAATGTTTTATTTGTATAAATTGTACAACTTTGATAGTTTTATGTTGGGCCTCAAACCTAACACAAATGAACATTATAAATAAAATTTAGATACTTATTTTTAAAACTAAGTAAATGTTGATTTTATTTGTATAGGTACTAATACCTTAGAATATGCGTTATTATTCTAAGACTAATACTATGTTAACTATAAAATAATTTGACCTGAAAACATTTTCGGAAACGCAATCGAATTGGCTTTTGTCACTCTCTGGCCGCTTCGGCGGCACGCTCCCTTCGCTCATTCGACTCGTGCTGCTTTTTCATAAACTAACCTAACCTACTGAAAGAAGGGCGCAACCACGCAACCAATATTTATTAGGAGATCAATATCAAAAGATATAGTTAGAAATGTCATCAATTGTTAAAAGAAAATACCAATAATAAAAAAGAGGATCAAATCTTTATATATATCTTTGAATATCAAATATTAATTTAGTATGCTTAAACATAATAATAGTATTACCAGGCATTTTCAACATGTGAGTAATTTCTTAGCTGTGATTTTTGCGCGGCGTCGGCGAAACTTGTAGTATAAGTTGCCAAAATAGATATGTAATATTTTTTGTAACCAAGTATACCTAAATCTTCACCTAGAGCCACCAAAGAAAAAATCCTACGTCGATATTATAGCATATTTTTAATGTTTTTTTAGTCCCGATTTCTAGTTTTGGTGACACTTCCACGCCGTGTCTCAAACTTGTTTTCATGATTGAAAAAAAATTGAACCATATTTTGAATTTTATTGGTAGACCCACATGCTCAGTACGGCTCAATGATTAATTAAACAGTCTAATATAAAGTAATAACGAACCAAGAACAATTGCCCGCGCGAGGAGCCTAATTTTGGTGAACAATTTTAAATGCTCACTAGCAAATACTGTAAGCTTTCGAAAGCTTTCCGATCACTACCTCCCGCCCCCTTCAGAGTCGCGCTAACGCGCAGTTTGTTCGGTTGTAGATCGTGATGCTTTTCCCGCATACTTGGCATCATCGCGATCTAGGGGACCAAAACTGAGCAATTTTTGTGATCATATTATTAAGGATACAAATAAGGTTTCAAACAATGCTGTGTGCATTTCCAAAGTTAATTTTGGCTACCTTTAATATGCTATAGTTAATGTTGCCTTAACTTAGGCTCAACTCACACTGGCGCAGAGTCGAAACTTCGCGATGCGTCATGTTTTTCGCCAATAGCATTCATCTCTATTTTCCCATTATTAAGGTACAAATTTGTGTTATGCAAACATGGAAATGTGATCCGGACGCACCAATGCGAGTGTCGTCGCGAGACGACTCGCTTTGCAGTTGAAAAACAGAACGTGACACGATGCTTTGGCTCTGCGTCAGTGTGAGTTGAGCCTTAAGTGGTGTGTATTTTAAAATAACTTGCTGCAGCTGCGCTTGTTTAATATAAACATTAATAGTGGCACCACTGAAATGTTTCTATAAACGCCTAGTTTAAAGGCACCCTTAAAGAGTGTTTGTAAAAACGCTTTTAATTTAAATGAAGCATAAATAAGTTGTTCGTGGATGTTCCATAATTCATTTTAATATGGAAATATTGTTTTACAAATAATAATAAATAATTAATCGAAGAAACTGTTATTTAATTAAAATAAAACGCCGATTTCATCAGCAACAATTGTCTATTAACTACTTTCTTGTATTAAGTGTGTAAAATCCCCACGCTAGATAGTGGACTGTAAAATTATAAAATAATTCGAAAAAACCGGCTTAACGAAGTGCTACTAATGCTCTACATATTCATATTTTCAAACTATTTAGGTAGGAAGTTAATTTAAATTTCTGACCGTCATGCTTGTATGTCTTTCATGCCTCTTTTAATTTTTTCTTATCCAATCTAACTCCATTCTCATGTATCTGCGCATATTTAGGAAATCAATATGGGGGAGAAATGTACATTCGGCACTAGGATGCCCATCGACATCCACATGCTCAATGAGATCATCTACAGAGAAGTGAAGCATTTCAGAAACTACAAAATCTATCGGCCCAACTTCGGAGGTAAGTTATACGTTGCCAAGACGTGAGTTTTAACATCGTATAAAAACTTTATACAAACTTAGCAGAGCGGCTTGTATGTGTATATATATATTACTTGTATGTATATTACTCGCCACGCGATATGTAATAAATCAATTGTTAAAAATAAGTTTTCTAAAATTTCTGCAACTTGGTGAGAGTTTCGATGTAAATTATTAACTTTTGAAATCTACAAATACTTCCAGCAATTCCGTTGACGGGTAAATTCTATGCTGCCCACGACCAGTATCAAGAAGCATGTAAAGAAGAAGAAAACAAAATCGACAACTACCACAACAATGTGTCACAGATGCGATCTTTAGGACCGCGTACCAAATATCCCGCGCCCGTTACAGAGTCTCACGTGTAAGTGGTTGCTTCTGGTTATCGAATATACAATATGTTGATTTGCATTCTCGCCATATTTACATAGGTCATTCTGTGTCCGAAACTGAACCCAAATCACTGAAAAAATAAATCGAAAAAAATTTTCGTAAATTTTTTATTTAACTGCGGTAAACAAATTTGATCCAAAGGTCATTGACTTGCACAGCTCTTGCCATAGGTACCGGCAAACATTTTAAACAATGACCTTAAATGCGCCGGAACGCATTTTAGATCTGTTTGGTGGTGGGGTGCGGGGGAGTGTCGTATCGACCTTAGATTAGGCGACCTTGCTTCCCGTACTGTGTCTACGTCACGCTTACATCCCGCATACATTCTATTCTAGTCTGTCACGAAATTCCACGTGGTTTGGCATGTAAACAAGAGTTAGTAGTGCAAAACAGAACCGCTACCAGGTTCACCAGAACCTGCATAATCCATCAAGTACAAGTGCGTGTCTAGTCTATTGGCATGATGTGAAACGTTTAGTTTACGCGGAGGATACGAATGTCGAAGTTTCTGCTTTCAAAGTTTGGAGTCTTATGTTGAAACGAAACTCACGTGCGAATCTATGCATCTCTCCGTACCGGAGCCACCACCAGCTGTGGAGACAGGTACTTCTAAGCAATACTTTCATGTAACCTAAAGTTTGTAAGTGCCAAATCTAAGTTACAAAAAAACTTTTTCAGTCAACTTTTCTAATTAATGTAAATAAATAGTAAATTATAACAATACATAGTACATAATCATAATTAAAAAATAGGTAAATAAGCGATCGAGAAAGATTACGCATCGCTCGGTGAAGCGGGTGGAGAGGTCACTGCCCTTGCGTGGTGCATACGACTTGAGACAATTTTGAAAAACTTTACTAAATACAATTAGCCAGAATATTGAACAAAATAGTTTTTCAAATATTTTTAGATGATTTAGCATTATTTCTATAATGCTAAATTAATTTCTTAAATATGACGAGAATGCAAATCAACACACTGTATAACCAGAAATAAAGACGAAATAAGTGCCATCCATACCTGACAACTCATCAGGCAAGGGAGCCATAGATCACTTTTAAATATCAACTCTCGTTTACGCCGAAATCATAAATTAGAAAGCTGAAATAGTACAGCGCCAACAACTGATCTGTGTGTACGTCTCCGTATATTCCAAAAATATTCTGCAGTGTGAGAAAAACAACAAAACATCTAATTACAAAACAAACGGAATCACATTTAATCGGTAATTAAATATTAAATATGTAATTTGCAATTTTCGTCCATTATAGCAAAGCTCAAGTCAAACTGGTCATTTTGAAAACAATTGACGACACCCGTCAATGTTTCGAATTCGGGCTGTCCGCTCCCATTGGACATTGGCAGTTGTCACAGTAATGATTTGGCAGAATAGTTTTCAAACAAATTAAATGACATTTCGTCTCTGTTTCTGGTTATATACTCCATGCTTCTGGCCTAGACTGTCTTTATTTTGTGATGCGTTATTTTTAGTGGTCGGATATTTCGATGCATTCACACCTAAAGTTTAGTTTTTCCCATAAACTGCTGTCGAAATGTGGAAGAGGCTTCTTGAATATAATTATAGCTATATTTATAATAAAAAAACGGACCTCAAGTGTGTGGAATTACATCTGTTTGCCGAATTTTATTGCAATTGGTTAACGGAAAGTGGGTGGAATCCAATAAACCGGATTCATCCCCTAACTTGCCATCCTTAGAGGCGAAATCGGTTCACTAATGTCAGAATAATCGCGTAACATAAACATAAAAAAATACTATCGAATTCAGAACCTTCTCTTTTTTTTAACTGCCTCTGTGGCCGAACGATTGCCATGCCGGTTTGCCACGCAGAGGTCCCGGGTTCGATTCCCAGGCACGGGCAATTATTTGCAAGGCCTACATATCTTTCTCTCGTGAGTTTTGGTGTAATTTGTGGTTGTCTATTTGTGTATACATGACACCCGCAATACTAGGTTTCTCTTTTCGATGTGAAACAAAATTCCTATTATACTTAAAAGTTTCGTCAATCCCGGTATCGCTCGATTTTTTCGATAGAAAAATGCATTCACCGTAGATTAGGATGGCCAGGACACTCGTATCGAGAAGTTTTCGCTTAAGTGTGATTGGAAGGCTTCCCTTTATAATCTCTTTCATGGGCCATTAGCGCTTCCTGGCGTTTTCGAGGTTACAGAGGCTTATATTTAAAGTAGCAGTAGAGCTCATTGTAAAAGAGTTAGTCCAAGGTAATATTGCCCTTACAAGCAGTAATATGAGATGGACAGTGGACAGTGTCGCTAACCACCAGGCGTGCCACTTGTTCGTCCCGTCACTGAGTATCATAAGAAATAAAATACAAGACATTGTGACTCGTATCGAGTTCTTAGGTTTTCGCCATTGTTACACATGGGAAATGAAACTATTTTTCCGGATTATATGCGTAATTAGACACGGTTATCAACCGTGACCATGGGACCTATAAAGGGCCCGAAACGTCGGTTTGTTTGAAAAAGCAAATATACGCAATTTAAATCCGGAAAAATAATTTCATTTCCTACATTGTGACTCGTTCATAAAAACTGCTTTACTAAGATCAACTGTACATAATAAACGTATGGAGCAACTGATATTTAAGTGTCTATTAAAGAAAAAACCCACAGTGCCTTGCGTTTTCTCGACATTAGAAGCGCTACAGCCTCAGATAAGTTCTCGGAGGCTAGGATTGGTGGTTTCAGGCAGTCGTTCACAGGAGAGTGGCATCCCTGTTGGTCAGAATGAGGAGCAACTCCAACAGTCTTCTAAAAGTGGTAGCAAAGAGGATGGACAGCCCAATCCTTAAGTATTGGATGTCCATCCTTGTTCATGAAAATGAACACTTTGCATTCTGATAACATAGTTGTAAGCAACTACTAACACTATGTGGACATGTAAGCGCCCAGTTATACGACGCGAAAGTTGCCGCGCGGCGACCGCCCAGTTATCATGTTTTGACGTACATTAATGACGAATCTGAATTCTATTTACTAGGCAATAATATTCAAATTCCTCTGAATAATACAACCGCGCGGTTGTCGGGTGGCCGCCGCGTAGACCAAATTCAAGCCAGTATCGCCCGCGCGCCCAGGACGCTCAAAGTTAAAACGTAAAAGCGAAATAAATAGAGCGTATTTTGCCTTGACAGTTAGATTCACACGTGTGGAATAAATGCGCCCTTACTGTACTCTCTGAAATATTTTTTTATCATTTTCATTTCATTGTCATTTACACAGATACGGGTGGTACAACCAGCCGCTAGTCCCAATGGAGAAAGGCGACAGACGGTTTAACCATCATCGGCAGGAGAGTATCCACACCAAGATTGAAGTCATTATCCTCATGTCGAACCCTAAAAGCAGAAAACAATAAAAGATACTTTTTGGTACAAATTGACTTAATTTGGTGACGATATACATATACTTTTATTAGTTTTATTACTTGGTGCACACTTCTACCACTCTGGCGTATCATGACCGCATCTTTAAATTGAAATAATACACTATCACATCGTCGCTATTTAGAGCCGATTAACATAACAAGCGTTAGACGCGCTATTTATTGTTAAACCGTGTTGAAACCGCACCTAACGTTTGTCATCTAATACCGGGTTCCCGAGTCTTTCACTTGCTTGCGTGACTCGCTACGCACATACGCAAAGATCTGTCGCGTACACAGGCAGGCAGCATTGTTCACGAGTCACTCGCTTGCGCCGGGCGCTTGCTTTGCGTTGGATTTCTTTGCCTTGCGTGCATTTGATATCTAGGAAGCTTGATATTTCCACGCAAGCAACGGGGAACGTTTGCGGAGGACAGCACTTCTGGCCAATTACAGAGCAATAGCGTCCACGCGTCCAATACAACTCTCCACAACGCAAAGTGGAAGACTCGTGAACACCTTTGAGCGGATGGAAGATTTCTACGCCATGTACCCATCCAACGCAAGCAATCGAAAAACGCGAGTGAAAGACTTTGTGAACCCGGCATTATCTGGGCCTTGCTTAAGTAAGTGTGAATGCATCGTTAATTTGTTTATGTAATAACAATACAGCGTAAGCAAAAAGGTTTTATTGCGTTAACAGGTAATCAGGTAAACAAATTAATATTAACATTAAGAAATTTAGTCTGTTCATCGTAATCCGACAATCTAGGTATCAAAAATCTGAAGGATTCAGCAATAATGTGAACATTACTACAAAAACGTGACATTGCCACTGCTATGGACAGGTGTGGACTTAACACCAGGCGCACGACATTTGTACTGTCTCTAGGTACCATACAAAAAAAAGCTGTATTCGTCGGGGATAGTGCAATTACGCGTAACTAGCATTGCATTATGAGTTTCCATTTCGATAATTTAATAATAATAATATTATTATTATTATTATTATTAAATTTTTATTAAATTTTATTAAATTTTTTTGGAATAAAGGCTTATGTCTTTATTCCAAAAAAATATTTCAAAAACAAAATTCTATTTATGCAAAACATGCAAAATTAAAATTAAATGAAAGTGGATTAAATTAAAATTAAATTAGAATTATAGTTTCAAATTTAAATATGCGATTTAAAATTTACTGGAAAGCCCATCTCTGGGCGTAGGCCTCCATTTACCAATGCTACATACACGGATTAGCAATATCCACGACGATTAGTGGTATTTTACATAATCTTAAATCTAAACATTTCTAGATACGTTATCATCAATTTGTAGAATTTTGGTTAAAATATGCTTTTGATTTGAAATTCCCTTTGTCTTTCAAAATTTTAAAATTTCAAAGAGAAACACAAAAATTTGCCACTGAAACTTTTCGTTGTCCTGGCAACAAAAAGTTTGGCAGGTTTTTATGTTACAAACAATTAAAAAGTGATATTAATAACCCAGAAACAATTTCAGTACAGAGTACAAAAAAATCGACCTCATAAGTCATTCATCCCCTAGTTTGTCACCCTTAGAACTGGAATATTTTTTCAAATTTAAATTGAAACACTACTGAGGTACTCTTTCCAACAAAAAAGGAATCATCAAAATTGGTTCACAAATGGGCCGGAATTATCGCGTAACATACATACAAAAAAACCGTCGAATTGAGAACCTCCTCCTTTTTTTGAAGTCGGTTATAAAGAAGAAAGCTATAATTTGTGGAGACCCCTCATAAAATATTACTATTGTTTATTTTATAGTAAACTAACTAATAATATTACTTTATAAGTTAGTGTTTATTATTTTTAAATTTTAATTTTATAATGTTATTGCCATTTAATAGAGATCAGTATTGTTAGTATTTTCTGTATTAGTAGTGCTTTAATTTTTTTTAACAAATATATTTTGAAGAAGTTATGTCATTTTATTTTGCCGCTTTTTATTGGGCCGATGACTTATTTGGATGGATGTGAATAGATTGACAGCACGAATTTATGCAGCGAATATGGATGCGTGGTAAAGTGTTGTGCACTTTAGTGCATGTCTGTACGTCCTTGATGTCTAAGTGATCGTCGACAAACTGTACAGGAATGAACGTAATAAGGTATGGCAAGAACATCGAGTATATAACCAGAAATAGAGACGAAATAAGAGCCATCCATCCCTGGCAACTCATCGGGACAAATGGACCTTATGTCACTTTTAAATATGAATTCTCGTCTGCACCGAAATCACAAATTAGAAAGCTGAAATAGTACAGCGCCAACAACCGACCTATGTGTACGTCTCCGTATATTCCAAAAATATTCTGCATTGATTGTAATAAAGATAATATCTCTAACTATGGGGGGCTGTTCCATTCGTTGGTGTGGGAAAATCAGCAAAACATCTAATTACAAAACAAACGGAATCACATTTCATCGATAATTACATAAGTGTAATTTTTTAATTTTCTGAAGTTAAACTGGTCGATTTGAAGTGAAACAATTGACGAGACACCCGTCAATTGTTTCCAATTCAGCCTGGTCAATCGGAGCGCAGTTGTCATCGTAATTATATGGCAGAATAGTTCTCAAACAAATTAGATGACATTTCGTTTCTATTTCTGGTTATATACTCGATGGACAAAAATAACCCTAGCGCCCATAGGTGTGTGCTTATCACCCTAAGTAACAGACGCTAGACTTACCATACAAGTATGCTGAACAAATAATAAGTAAGTACAGTAAGTAAGTCTTGCTGAGTAGTGCTGCTGAAGCACTTTCTTTCATTCGCCTGCTGAATGGATTGTTCAAAGGTTGCTTGAACACACACTATTACAAAAACAAATATATAAATAAGTACAGAATATCTGCGCCGTGAGACCTAAGGGAACAGACGGTCGGTGGGAGGAAACAAGGGTGTACAAGGATGGATTACCCCACTGCTGGTCTCTCAGACACACAAGACCGATCTTCTGATGGCTAAAGGTGTCTTGGCCATTGTGAGATGCTAGCAGGAGATAAATCAAACTCCAGACGTTGAAATACTAATTTTAATAATACCTAAATTAATTGCTGTATATACAAATTTACATTTACACACATGGTTTTCGGTCGTTCATTTTGCTGAGTAGTGCTGCTGAAGCACTTTCTTGCAGTCTATTTTTGGCTCATTCGCCTGCTGAGTGAATTGTTCAAAGGTTGCTTGAACACACACCATTACAAAAAATACCTCTAAAATCTAAGTGTCTCGTCGGTGTAAAGTGCCGTTGAAGCATTATCTTGCAGCCTGGTTTTCGGTCGTTGGTCTTGCTGAGTAGTGCTTCTGAAGCACTTTCTTGCAGTCTATTTTTGGTCGTTCGCCTGCTGAGTGGAATGTTCAAAGGTTGTTTGAACATAAGAGTTAGAAACATAATGGTATTACTTTCAAGTAAAGCATTTATTTGGATCTACACTGAAATAATAACAAAAAAATTAAAACGTGTTTGCTACACATATAAACATGTTTGTTTTCTGAGATACAAAAATCTATGGATGTAAACAACGAAAACAGATTTTTTTTTCTAAAAAAAAAGGTTAAGGCGGTCACGCCTTGATTTGACCCAAACAAACCACCTACCCCTCTTTCTCGGTTCCGGAGATTACCTTTAGTTCCTGTGCACGCTTAACCACCGCGTTCTTTTTTTTTTTTATACCATATCAAATGACGGGACGAACAAGTCACGCGGTAAGCTACACACCTGTCTATAACAGTTGCAGTGCCACTCATTGCTTTAAACCGCAAAGATCTCAGGTGCACTCCCACTGCGCCCGTCACTCTGAAATATAAAGTTGACAAGTACGAGTATATGGGACTTGTAATTTTACCCCTTGTTCGATACAGGCTATGCTCCACATATTAAATCATTGGCAATAACCTACTTATTTTATCTAAATTACGCGTGGTATGTAATTCCTTGTGTCTGATTTACTTTAACATGGTAATTAGTGTGTTTTTTAAATACACACGACGGCATTTTTACTTGAAATTTGAATAAAATGACGCAATCTACAAATGTCAAATTCGTCGACTTTGCTTGACGCAGATTGATCGTAAGGTCGGTCATTTGACTGAGATTCGAGTTTTCACTACGTGGATGCTAGTAACACATCTGCCTTTTTTTTGTATATAAGATCATTGGGTACAGGACAAATTCAGGATTCGACAAATTCGTGACATTCGCTATTCGATTTATTCGTGGATTGGGCAGAGTCCTGGAGTCGCCGGATTAGCAGCATGCTTACCCTTCAAAACCGGAACGCAGTAACGCTCACACAGATACTGCCACAGTGGGTTAGTGTTGAAAAACCATCAAGTACATGACCAAACTCGATGAGAAAAACTATCCTAACTTTTCTATATTGTCGCGGGTCTCAATTTCCAAAGGACAAGTGCTTTAGCTACTTATTTTAGGATCAGAGCAATGAATGTGACTTGTCTAATATTCACCTTACATTTATTTATTATTATTATTGTTTCCTTCGTTCTCAGCCTGTTGGCTGATTTGAACCACACTTACGGACCGAAATCAAATGCAGTATTTATTATTATTACTTTTTTAGATATCCATTTTAGACTCTCGCCTCGCCTTATTATTATATAAGTATTACAAAACTCTGTTTTTTTTACAACAAAGTGACAAATAATGACAGTGACATGAAATTTTATTGACATAAACTTTTCAAATGATGCCGCGGCGGCGGCGGTTGGTTTTCTAATATTTTATTTATTTTTATATTTTAAATTCTTGTGTTAACGGTTAAAAAGGTAAGTTATATAGTTGTGCTTTAGTAAATACATATGCTTTAGGCGAAAATAAGCTTATATCTAATTTACCTTTACGTATTTACGTAATAATTAAGCTGCTAGGCCGTTGATTGCAAAAAGAAAACTCGGTATCGTGAAGATAATAACGATTTAATAAGAGAAAAATAAGCCGTCGTAACCTAATTGTTTGACCTACCGCCTCTCATGCAGAGGCCGCGGGTCGGATTCGAACCGGCTTGCACTTCGTGAGCTTTTCGGTGAAGGAAGACATCGTGATGAAACTTTTTTTCGTGAAATTACAGGCGCATGGGACTTTCCAACTTATGTCTCAGGGGAATGGGCGCAGAGGCAGTGCACCTCAGACCTTTACGATTTAAAGTTCTGACTGGCACTGCAACTGTTATGGACATGCGTGTCGTTTACCATCAGGCGCACGACTTGTTCATCTTATCTTATCCATCACTTCGTATCATAAAAAAAACCTTGAAAGGTTGTCGCGCACTGCCGGCACCGCTTAAGCACCATGGAAGCTGCAAGCATGCTATAGATTGTAATGTCGACTCCGCATACGCCACACATCTTGCTTAGCGAGTTTAAAGTTCAAAATTCAAAAGGAAAAAGAAATAGTGGAAATAAATCCGGTTTTTGTTATATTTTTGACTTCCTATTTTCTGGTTAAATTCCAATTGTTCTTTGTTTATGTCAATGTGTGGCTACATCCATCGAGTATATAACCAGAAATAGAGACGAAATGTCATTTAATTTGTTTCAAAACTATTCTGCCAAATCATTACGTTGCAAATGCGCTCCGAATTCGAAACAATTAACGGGCGTCGTCAATTGTTTCACTTCAAATCGACCATTATAACTTGAGCTTTGCTATAATGGATGAAAATTGAAAAATTATATATTTAATATTTAATTACCGATGAAATGTGATTCCGTTTGTTTTGTAATTAGATGTTTTGCTGTTTTTCCCACACCACCGAATGGTACAGCCCCCCCATTGTTAGAGATATTTATCTTTATTACAATAAATACAGAATATTTTTGGAATATACGGAGACGTACACACAGGTCAGTTGTTGGCGCTGTACTATTTCAGCTTTCTAATTTGTGATTTCAGCGCAAACGAGAGCTGATTAAAAGTGATATCAGTGCCATTTGACTGATGAGTTGCCAGGTATGGATGGCCAATAATTCGTATCTATTTCTGGTTATATACGCGATGTTATTAAGTAATCTGTGGTGAAGGTACAGAGTGAAGAAAAAACTTTCATAGATTTATAACAGATGGCGCTGCGGTAAAAACTCGTTAAAACCAAAAACAGAAATTAATAAAAAAAAAATTGTTTGTGTTCGATCGATTCTCTCATAAGAATAATTCTCTCGTGGTTCCCTTCCATTTTTCTAACCTAGCTCATATATTTAGGCAATCAAGATGGGAGACAAATGTACATTCGGCGCCAGGAAACCCATCGACATCAACATGGTCAATGCGATTATCCACAGGGAAGTGAAGCATTTCAGAAACTACAACATTTATCGGCCTAAATTCGGTTGTAAGTATATGCTTTAGTCTTTGGCTTAGAAGTACTGTTTATAATCAGATGTAAAATCTATAAATATAACCAGTGGTCCCGGTGACCAGCAAGTTCTACGCGGCTCACGACCAGTTCTTGGACGCGTCAGAAGAGGAATCGCAGAAAGTAGAAAATTATCATCACAACGTAATGCAAGCGCGGGTATTGGGGCCACACAGCAAATATCCCGCGCCAGTTACCGAGAATCTTGTGTGAGTGACAATTGTTGTTTATTCCCACTAGTTCTGTTAACAGTCTGTTGACAGAACTACTGTGATTTTTTCCACTAGTTCTGTTCTGTTAACAGAACTAGTAACAGTAAGGCTCCTCGTGAAAGAGTTCGTCCAGGGAAGCACTGCCCCAATACCTGTTTCTGCCGCCTATAGGTCGATAAGCAGCTGCCTGCCTTTGAATAAAAAGAAATAAATTCATATGACATTTCATGATTACGGACATTCTCACGATTAGTGTTCTCAGCCTAATTACCTTAGCCATTTCGGTGTCCTCAGCCTAATTACCGTAGCCATTGTTTTTTCTCTCTTAATATACCCAATAACATTGAAATATGAACAACATTAAGCTTAACTATCAATATGTCTAAATGACATTAGAATAGGCAAAGTAATTTTCGAGTTATTAAGAAAGAAATATTTTGTGGAAACGGTAAAAACCAACAATTTAGACACAGCTGGTTTATTATTTATATATTTTGCTACATTTGGTTTACTGTAATGTTATAAATGCCATTCAAGGTTTTTGAAATAAATTTAATGTAGGGTTTCTAATATTTGGTTAATGGTAATGATTAAAAATTACTCCAATCTTTTCTTACAATTTAATCACAGCTGTTACAAGAACAGTGTAATAATTTACATTTTGATTATTTCTGCCGACAAAAAACCTTAAAAGTTAAAAAATAAATATTTGTAATCGGTGTCATTTATTAGAAAAAGTGAAGAAAATTAAAATCAAAGTTATTTATATATTGTTAGTTGTTGTTTATAGTTTTTGTTTTCATGTTTTCTTAAAAATGTTTGAACTTTGTAATTACCGTATCCGTGGCTGCGGTAATTAGATCTACCGTTTCCATAACATATTTGTGTCTTAATAACTCGAAAACTAGTTTGTCTATTCCAATGTATTTAGACATATTGATAGTTTAGCTTAAAGTTATTCATATTTCAATGTTATTAGAAAAAGCGAGAAAAAACAATGGCTACGGTAATTAGGTCGAGAAAAACGGGTCTACAAATTATATTTTAAGTTTTAATTGCCCGATAATTGCACTTGAAGAGTAAAAAAGGTATTTTGTCCAAAAACGGAGTTACCCACAAGGTTTTCAAATTTAACCGACACGTTATTACTCTGTTATTATGCATTCAAGGAATGGTATACTTTATTTATTGAAGGGTATGTTATATATTACCTGTATTACTTTTTGTAACGTCCGCCCGGCCCAGCTCGACGCCGTCTATGCCACTTCTGCATCTTCCTTTTTGTTTTTTTTTTAAATGTAACCTTAATTAGAAAAAGATAAACTTTATGTTGCATCGCAACATCGCGTCTCCTCGCTGCAGCAATTTGAAACGACATTAAGTGTGCTAGGAGCAGTAACAATTGTGATTTAAAGCTCTGAGTGGTACTGCAGCTGTTATACCAGGCGCACGACTTCTTCATACCAATACTTGATATCATAAAAAAAATTTCTTTTTTTACTTTCTCAATTAATGCGTAAAATAGTTTTAGTAGGACGTATTGTTGTGTAATGAATGTTAAAAAAATCTCTTAATACAGATACGGGTGGTACCACGAGCCATTAATGCCAACGGACAAAGCGGATCGACGATTTAACCACCATATTCAAGAAAACATCAACACCAAGATCCAATTCATCATCCTCATGGCCAACCCGAAGATTAAGAAAGAATAGAAGACACTGTAAGAGCTATTTCGGTACTAATACACTCTTATAATAGGAAGATCTTTTTATACTGTGTGCACACTTGTGTCATTGGCCGTAATGTGATATGTACTGTAAAAGCTGCAGCACAATGGGCTACGGATAATGACAACTAGTGGTAGTGTTGTAAAAAAACTCGAGTATGGGAGTCTACATTTGCTAAAATGTGTGCGAGTGCTAACTCGACTCCAATTCACAAGACCCGACTCATGAAGACATAGACTCCACCACTCGATGTATTACGATACTATCGAGTTTCCGAACGGACTCGAGTTCGACATTAGTGCTCGAGACGCCCTTGAGTTCGAGTCCGTTTATGTAACGAGTCGAACTCGAGTCTGGTAAGTACCTACTGAGCGGTGTTGTGGTGAGGCGTGTTAAACTGTAGTACAATTACTGCGGTATAATTAAGTATTAATTAGGTCCTTGTTTTTAAAGTCACCATATTGGGTTTTTGTATTTTATTTAATTCGTGTGCAATAGTAGCTGTTCAGTAAAATTGAACCCTGCTTGTCGTACTTACAACTTTGTAGAGTAGAAGTCGCTTCGAGTCGAGTTTTGTTCACAACTTGAGTTGGGTTTACGACTCGAGTTCTTTTTGGATTCGATCCGTCCGTGCTCCGATGACTCGCATTCGACTCAACTCGAAATGACTCGCATTCGACTCAACTCGAACTCGTGGATTTTTTAGACCACCGAGGCTTGAGTCTAGTTTATAAATGAAGACTCTCGGACTCGAGTTTTTACAACACTATCTAGTGGACGTCTCTGGTGGTCAAACTGGGTGCCTACCACAACTTCTTAAAACAATATTACTTTAACCTTACATTGAGTTTTCGTGGCATAACATAAAAAATCATAGAAAACATGTGTTAATGCAATGTAACATAAATTATGTCATTTTCCCGTACATTGCTAAATTCGTCGGCGTTAGTCTGGCTGCGCTTGTATATGTGTGTGTTAATGTGTGTGTTTGTGTGTGTTTGTGTGTGTGTGTGTGTGTGTGTGTGTGTGTGTGTGTGTGTGTGTGT